ACTTTGACTTTGAAATAGATTAAACGTTTTTTACCAGTACTTAATATCGAATTTAGTAGTTTAATGTTAGGTACTATGCCCGTTCCGCGCCCTAATGAATATTGTAACGACTGCATTCACGCAGAATTATTCATTCGCTTTAACGCATGCTAATGTATTCGGAGATAGGCTATCGCGAATGCGGTAGGCGATTTTGCCATGTACACTGTTCACTGCACTCAAGTTACGGCTTTATACAGTTTACTTGCAATAATTGTCGTATTTGACCATGCGCCTTCTAACCAGAATTAGAATTACTCCAAAATTACTACCGGATATACCGCATTTGATTTTAAAATCCCTTTTCGATTGGGTTTGCGCGTTTAAGATCGAAAAATTCAAATGTCCCCAGTTGACTCCATCCAAAGTCGGACTTTGGAGTCCCTTAGTTTTTTTTATGACACCAGTTGACGGTACTAACACATCGTGTGCCTGGTGATTAGCGACATAATAACAATAATAACGCACACACACACTCAACATTGCCCCGCACTAGGGAAACCCTGTGTCGCGGGTGTCATGGACACACGCATAGACAACCACAAATCACACCCAAATTCACGAGAGAAACAGATGCAGGCCATACAAATATTTCTCCCGGCCCGGGAATCGAACCAGCGACCTCTGCGTGGCAGTCATGGTAACCGTTCGGCCGCGGAGGTGGTTACATGCCTACCTACAGCAATTCTAATGGCACTCAGAGCTTTTAATCTCAAAGATCTGAAGGGCACTGATGTTGCCATAAGAGTTAATAATAATAATAAATAAATATACAACATCAAATACGTTGCTGTGATCCCAAAGGAAGTGACTAAGGCACTTGTGTTATAGAAATCGGAAACAACGATGGTACCACAAACGTCCAGACCCGAGACAATAATAGAAAAGTTAACTACATTCAGAGCTCTACTGGTACTAAACTGAGACCGAGATATAGACAGTATTTGTATTTTTACAACTCTGTACATGAACCAAAATATACAATTACAAAATATAAACAATTATGCTTGCAAGAGGCTGATACCTAATCTAAGCAAAAGCTTGTAATATAGGATACCAGGTCTCTCTCCACGGTTTTCGGACTAACTGAGAAAATGAGCTGTTGGTCTACAGCTGAATAGATGTTCATCAAACATAGTAAAGAACCAATTAGCCTTAAAATTTAAAAAGCAAGCCGCGTTGAGATCCGTCCGTTTTCGAACTAAGATATAAATATAGAACTAGAGGGTTTTAAATATAGAACAAAATACATTACAATAATTCTGTACGTATAAAAATTTCTTTGAAGGTAAATAATATTACGTTCAACCATCGAGTATCTGGTTATATACTAGATGCGTTCAACCTACCTATAGTCGAGCCAAAATAATATGATGGGTGACTTGACAGCTACGAACACAGAACAACAAATATAGTAGAAGTGCTTACGTACGTGTGCCAACCCTATTATCTGTGCCAACAGTACGCGGAGTTGCACTTACGTGAGCTCGGTTCGCCATTTTCGCTTCGTACGTTATGGTCGTGTCAATCACAGACCACATGTGTCAATTATCTTATTTTGCTGCTTTGGAGTGAAAAAATTATAGTAGCTCCTGTTATATTATCTATGGTGGTGTTTCATATTATCGTTAAGTCTCATTTTATTTTATTTAAACAAATTATCTTCATTTTCATGATTAAAATCAAAACTGCATCAGTTAAAATGGGTATTGAACTTTTAACGATGAGTGTGTGCGTTAAATAGAACGTAACTTAATGGTAATTGTCATAATAGGAAACAAATAATCTAACTCTAATTTTATGAACACTATAAGCACGAACAACGTATGTGTTTCGGTTAAATTTTATATAAATAAAGCATAATTTTTAACTGCCTCCGTGGCCGAACGGTTACCATGCCGGACTGCCACGCAGAGGTCCCAGGTTCGATTCCCGGGCCGGGCGAAATATTTGTATGACCTACATTTATTTCTCTCGTGAGTTTGGGTGTAATTTGTGGTTGTCTATGTGTGTGTCCATGGCACCCGCGACACAGGGTTTCCCTAGTGCGGGGCTATGTTGAGTGTGTGCGTTATATACAATCAAATATACAATCAAATAAATAATTTCATTACATCGGCTTTAAGTTGCAATTAATGATGATTTGTTATTTATATTACTTATTTTTATTGAATATCGTGATGTTTTCAGTCGTGGTAGCCCAACGGTTTTACGTACCGCCTTTCAAGCAGAGCGTCGTGGGTTCGAATCCGGGCTACCACTTTTATCACAAACAACCTCGAGAGTTTCTTGCTCGTTCTTCTCAGGGAAATCAATGAATGAGCAGTGCAAAATTTTGAACAAAAAAGGACTTAATACATGAAGGGTATGGACCTGTTGCAAAAAATTATTGACACTGAATATGTCGGTTTGAATCCGGCCGGTTCGAAGAAATTTTTTCTGAGTGTTCGTAATTATAACAAACTAGTGGATTATATAAAAATAATTGAACATCAATTCAATAAAAAATTAAATACAATGAATAGCGACATCTCTAGCCGGGGCTGCTAGCTGTAAAGGTATCTAACTGGGTGACCAAATATCATAGGTTAAATAACCAAAATACAAAGATACGACGCAAGGACATAGAAAAATTCGTGAAGTCCGCTGGTTCGTTCTGTCGTTTACTTGGTATAGCGTCTGGTACGGTATGCTAGAAGACGTCGGTTCGAATCCGGACGGATCGAAGGAATTTTTTCTGAGTGTTCGATCTTTGTATTAATAATTATAACAAACTAGTGGAGTAATTTCACAAAAAAATATTTATTTCACTTAACCAGCGCTACAGTTAATTATGGCTGTAGCTTATGCTGAATGAAGTCCTTTTGCGTACGTCACAACCGCACAAATGACAGTACAAAATTTGAAGTCATTATAATTTGTTTTTTGTCAGATTTGTCTTAT